CACATGAGAGGGACTGCGTATGCTGCTTTGCAGCAGCAGATACTGGTGCTCACACAGTCCTGGCTGTGGCTGCTGACTGGGGGTGGCAGGTTTCTCATAAATGCTGGGCTGGCTGCACATGAGTTAGTTTTTCCTCCACAGAAAAAAAAAACCCCAGCCATACGAACAGCTTTGGGTCAAAGAAAGCACAGTGTGCATTGACATTAAAAACCAGGATAAGAAGGGAAAAAGAAGGGTAAGCCAAAGATCAGGTTATTTCTGCTGCAGAGTGGCTGTTGGTTTGTCCCGTGTCCTGTGCTACTTGCTCATGGCAGCCAGGATGTGGCACTCGCTGAAGGTGGCAGGAGGCACAGGGAGGCTATTTGCCTTCCGGTGTAAGGGGCCAGTTCTGCTGACTGCTGGCAGAGGCTTGCACGTCAGTCAGTCGTTAGCTGTGTACCACCGGGCAGCAGATAATCTCAAGAACTGAATGAATAAATCCACTCCTTGTCAGCTCCCATCAGTGTCTCTTGCGTGAAGCCCTGATGCATCTTAAGCATACGCTGCGGATAAGTCTAAGCGCCATACTTCCTCGGTAGCCCATGGCAGGGTGCTGAGGAATACCGCAGCTGTTAACTACCATGAGGTTCCTGGGTAGGATTTTCCACGGTTAGATAACCTGTAGGATCCAAACCCCGTCACTTCAAGATCTTGGAATCAATATGCCAGGCCAGAAGTCCTCTCCTGTTGTGGAGGTGCGTTGGGACCAGCAGAGAAAATTTCTGAGAAAATGCTCAGTGTCCATTCGTACTTCATACCTCACACTTTATGCCAAATTTTGAAACTCAGTGAAGCTTTAGAGTTTTTGAGGGAGTATGGAAAAATACTTCTTTCAATATAGACAAGTAGAAGCTGACATTCTGTTATAATAGTAGTTTGTGGAAAATAAATTTCCCAACTAAGCTTTGTGGTATAGAAGTTTGCACATGAAAATTTTAACATCAAATATGCATCTTGCTTCTCATACGTACATATTTTCATTTTCATTTACGGGGAAATAGCTTTGAGAAGCACACATGCAAACAAAAATTGTGGTGGGAACGAGCCCATAATAGAGCTTTCAATAAAATGAGGAATCGCTCAGCTTTCCTGTAATTTTGTCTGTTTGTAAGTATTTTGTATAGCATTGTCTAGCTGCCTGACTCTGTGGAGATCTAAGTCTAGTTTCACTAGACTTCATTCACACACTTTTTATAGAATCTTCATGTAATTACTAGTACTTAGCAGAAAACCTGAATTCCTGTTAAAGCATTTAATTAGTCAAAATTGTGTAATAGAAGATTTCTTCCAGATACCACTTAATTATCATTAGAAGGTCTGATTCAAAGCCCACTTAAGTCAATTGATGTCTTTTGTTGGCTTTGGTACGTTTTGAATTTGGCTCACTGTGCTCAGAAATGTGAAGCTAATGGCTGCAATAGCAGCAGGAAATACTCTCTGTAGGTGGACAACTTCTGTGGTTCTCTATTTGCTTCCATAACGGCCTGCTGAAGTAGTTCTGTATAAATGTAAAGGCCACTTTAAGTGAAAAATCAACTAAATTCAGAGCTGCAGAGGAAGATACTTTAATCATTTAAAAACTGATTTTTTTCTACTTCTACTCTATTTCTGCTCCCATTCAAACCAAGGATACAATGTGGTATTGCTTAGATTTGGTAACAGCTTATGTTTGTTCAGAAGGATATGCTCCAGCAGTGATGACCCTACTGGATATACTGGGCCTACAGTTACTTTCCAAATAACTTGAGATTCATTTCTTCCTATCCGATACCTTTGGTTTTGCCACTTCAACTCAGTGAATTATCGCAGTGATTGACTTTCTGCTTTCTGTGTTCTCATCATGGAAATGCAGATTACTACACAGCAGGCCAGACACTGGAGAAAGCAGGTACTTTGGTACCAGGTTTCCAGCCTGAATTCTAGCCTGAGGAGTTAGATGAGCATCCAGATCTCTGCATCCTTTGAAGTTCATCCCAAATCTGAATAATTCTGAACTCAGAGAAAGTTCATGACCAGGTTTCTAGTAACTGAGGGACATCCATGAGCTCTGAAAATTATTTCATTAATTACTTCAAAGGGAAGCAGAGTCAACATTAGAGAGCTTGATTTTCACAAGAAAACCTACCAGACCACATCCCGCCTCCATCTCCCTACCCCCCCCGTTTTGCTGTGAGTAGGAAAAACACAACCTGCCCGCCTTGCCTTCTCGGTGAATTAGCACCCAGTGTGACCGTGAGGGGAGGGCACTTGTCACCAGTGAAAACTGTGCTGATGAGATGGGCTTAAACCAGAGAGATGTTATTTCCCCTGGGGGAGAGGGCGGGTGAAGTAGAGATTGAGGAGAGGGAACCAGAGTTTTGTGTTCTTCCTCCAAGGGTCGCGTTGTCCCCATGTTGCACTTTGTCATTAGCTGAATCGCTGGAGCATCCTGTCAAATCAGCCTCCTGCATAGATTTTTAAAAACCTCTAATTGGCACCTGGAAGGTTGCAAGTTAGCGGGGTGTCTCCATTTGCCCTGCACAACCTTTCTCCGCTCCATCCCCCAGCTCCAAGGCCCTGGAGTGCTGCACAGTCAGGAACCTACCATGGCATACAGCAACCCAGGCCGTAGTTGGGACCCTGTGACAAGAGCCAGCATTTGTGTGACAGAGAAAGCTTAACTTTTTTCCTTTCTCTTCTAACTATTATGTAAATGTTTCTCCATGTTTCCTGTTTATCACAGACTCTGAGCCTCCCTAGACATGCTATTCTGAGCTTGGCCTGCTTTCTGATAATTGTATCTGCATTAAAGCAAACACCCCTGCAGGGTTTCTCCATCCCCCTGTCCTTGCCAGCTCAGAGCTGGACAGCACTCCATGGCTTGCAAGCACAGGATGCACAGAAAAGGCATGCCAAGGGCTGGCAAAGCTCTGGGGAAGAAGGCAAAGCTGTGTGCTATTTCAGGCCTCTTTTGTTTTGCCGCTGAGTTCAGATACCTCTCCTTTGCTAATGGCACAGGGGCTGCTAGGTCCTCCTGAGCCATGCGTCAGTAAAATCACTACTGAGATCTGCAGTCTGTGTCCAGCCCTTATCAATTATTGGCTTCTCTGTGGGGACATAAAAAATCCACGAGAGTCACCCATTAATGACTGCAGTCGTAGTTTTGAGACAGTGGTCCATTGCACTTTTTTGTCAACTGTTGTTTTTCTTTGGAAGGGAAAAGAGGCCGGACACTGCTGTAAGATTTTTGAGGATGATCTTTATCAGATTGCTATTTAGAGACCTGGGGATTTCTAGTTCTTGAAGTAATACAGCCATTAGTGCCTTGCTTCTCTACCCAGGGCCAAGGCCTAGACTATGAGTAGTACAGTAATGACACAATTCCACTAGACTTTCCTAATATACTTTTCCCTTCCCCACTTCTCTGAAGGAGCTATTTCCAGAGATCCCAAGTGTGGAAGTGTATCTCAGGTGACTTTTAACTCTGCAGAGAGGAATAAGTGTCTTTGAAAGACTAAGATTAACATATGGAGGAAACACCCTTTTTTCCATACTGATATGGGGGGAAGGCCAAGGGTGATGTGCTGTAAGAGTTGCTTTTGCTGGTTTTGTGTGGTGGTGTAGAGGAAGAGAGATGACCAACATGCTGGGAAATCCTCCTCCTCTGCGCAGTGCTGGAAAACTGCCACTTTCTGATTTCCTGAGGAGTATCTTACTGACATTCAGGGAAAGTTGTCTCTGTTCAGGCTTAGCAGAGGATGGTGTCTCGGGAGTTCATGGATATCAAGAACTAGAGGTATACTGGGTCAAGTTCCTAATTACTCATCTGATCCCTTCAAAGGAGATGGTTTTGTAGTTTGCTCATGTTTTGTTTGTTAGCATAGCAGCTCCAGGACAATCAGCTATTTGAAGCACAGGAAAAAACCTTACCTAGTTATCCTTGTCTGCTTCTTTAGGTCTTTTTCCTGCCTTTGTGAATTGCTGGAAATTTGTCATGCTCAACTGTGATGCTTAGCCTGAGTTCCTTTTGGTTATCTACAGGCTCCACAGTGCTACATTAACTCCCTTCCAGTTAGTCTGGGTCAGATCTGAGGGGTTACCGCATGGCTTCGAGCAGCACAGAGCAGTTTTGCCAGCGGTTGGGGAATTGCACTGACTCCATCTCTAATGGAGATCCCTTAGTAAATTCAAGTTAAAAGCACCATGGGCAGTCGTGATAGCAATTTTGGGTGAGAACAGGGCTTGCACTAATTACAGGGACTTAGTCACAAGTTGTTAAGTCCGTGTGGAAGACACGCTCGTAGGAAGTAGCCGTTCTCAGACAGATTGGGAATTGAAGAGAAAGCACAGTCTTATGCTTAAGGCTCTGAACACTGCGTCTCCAGTAATTGGGTTAATTTCTTGTTGTGCCTTGTAATTCTTATGTCACTTCTTGTATTTCTTTCCCTTTTTGTGCCTCAGTTCTGCAGCTTTAAAATCACAGGGCTGTCTGTCCACCACTCTTTGTCTCTGTATACACTGCAAATTCTTCAGGATGGGAATTTTCTAACCTTAGTCAAGTATGCAATATGTACCGCAGCGTGGTCACACCTGTGCCAGTGGGAGGTCAGGAGAACCCTAAGTGACAACTGAGAGTTTCTGTACTTTGAGAATACCTCATTGGCTTTGGATTGTGAGGCAGGAACAGCCTTGAATGCTCAGATAACTCCTACAGTTAATTCCCTTTGGTAGTTTTGGGATGTTTCTTTCAGCCTTGAAATTTTGCTGGTTTTCTGTCCTGCAGGGAAGGGAGTGCTGAGGCTGAATAAATTGAATTTTCCTTAAATTATGAGAGTGCTAAATATGATACATTGTTACAGGTTGTTGTATCTTCTGCATATAAAGAGTGGAAAATGGATAAATGGGAAGAAAATGTGCGACGATATCTAATGTATTGTAAGACCAAGCTTCTAATCTTCTCTCTTTCTTTTTGTTTCTTCCAGGTGGAGCGGGAAATAGCCATCCTGAAGTTGATAGAACATCCCCACGTTTTAAAGCTGCATGATGTTTACGAAAATAAAAAATATTTGTAGGTATTACTGGCTTTTGCCAGAGAAAGGGGAAGGGAAGGAGGGGAGAGGAGGGGTTTGGAACTTGGTAACATTTTGGAAAGGATGAAGCAGCATGTGTTCTCACCCTCAGCTGGTGCCTGTGTGATACCTGGTACTTGGGTGCAGAAGGAACACTCATTTCCTTGGCTTTTCTCATGTTCTTCTCTGTACTTTACTTATATTCTGTTTCTTTTCTTACTGAAAATGGAGGAGAAATGACAAACCAACATTTTCTGTCAAACAGCAAGAAGCGAGGAAGGTTTGTACTTGTAAGATCTGGAATAATTTTCAATCAAAGATGTAACAGACTGTTACAGTGCATAATTTGGATAACCTCCCTTGCCTAATAGTGTTCACTGAAACCCTCAACTCTCAGTAACAATATTTTAAATTTGCCCCATCAATAACAAGTTTTGGTTTTAAAGGCTGCTCAAATCTGCTGATGGTTCTGCAGTAAGTAGCAAATCCTTCTTTCCCCCCACCCACCCCCTGTTCATTGCCAGTGCCAGGCAGGGATGTTGCCCACAGAGTGGCAGGGATGTTGTCCACACACACTGTCATTTTAGCTTGACAGGGCACTAGGTATGTTGAATCTGTTGTCAAACAAACAGGCCACATTAATCTTGGCACAACAGGAAAAAAAAAATCAATGTGCTCCAAATGGAAAAGGACAACCCAGTAGGGAACTCGGTGTTATTTTCAGCTTTTTAACACGTTATTGCAAGTGGAAGAGAGTGGTTAAAAAAACCCTAAACTATTTTTTAAAACCACCATCCATTGATGACCTCTCCTTAATGTCACAGCACAAGAAGGGATTGACTGTTTACCTAAGGAGAGTGTGTTGAATGGAGGTAAGAATCCCTCATGGACCATTCAGCCGGCCTTGTTACTGGAGCAGTGAATTACTATTCTGAGAAGTGAGGCCTCTGTGCCTAAGGGTTAGCTTAGTAGAGCAGGCAGTAATTTCTTTTGGATTCCCCATCTTCCGCTGGGGCAGAGCGGTGAAATGTGGTTGCCGGAGCGAGCTCGTGCAGGCACTGGGTGGAGGCTGGCTCAGATGTTCTCTGAGCTGCACGCCGAGTGCTCTGTCCTCAGCAGCAAAATGGTCAGGGATTCATTAAGCCTGGTGAGGACAGAGGCCCAGATCTAACGCAGGCTGCTGTCTGTGCAGAAGGGTAGCAAAGGGAAACCAGGCTTTTCAGCCAGTAAATTCTTCCATCCTGAAAAGAGAGGCATCTTTTGCAAGAGTACATTTTATCCTAGGTTAAAGGAGGGTGGGGTGAGGCCCCAGTCTTTCTTTTGGCTAAGAGGGAGGGAATATTCTTTGTAATCCTTGTTTATTTGTATGCTGTGTAATCTTAGGGATACACACGCATAAACACAGGCACACTTGTGGAAACACAGAGTACAGCTAGTGTCTTCCAGGTACGTGTGGTCTAGTTGGGCAATGGAGACAGTAAATGAACACATGAGGGAGAAAGGCCGTGATCATCACTTGGGGTGAGGGGATGAGTTATGTAGGTGCTGAAGCTATCTTCCTGCTCTGAACACCTCAGCCAGCAGCTGAGCAGAGCTCTCCTCCTTTACCCTGAAAGACCTGGGGGCTGTTTTGCTCCATGTGAAGAATATCTAGAGCTCAGAGCACTGGGGTGGTCTTACACCAAGATTTCAAAAAGATATTGGCCTGCTGAAAATCACTTTGAGCAGGGAAGCATCCCGTATCTTTAAGCTATATCTGAATATCCTGGCTTCTAAAAGATGTTGGGCAGCAAAGCAGGCTTTGCCCATACTGTTTACCCTTTAACAATCAGTAATCTGTCTTTGTGCTGTAGCTCCTCTGCTTGTAAAATCGAGCTGTCTGTGTCTCCCCACAAAGGCGCTGAAGCTCTCTGCTGAAAGACACTAACTCCGTGTAAGCGCCAATGACTGTTAATTACATTTCATTTTTTATTAGTCACTATTTTAAAGAAAGGGCACAAAGCAGAGCTTCTGCCAAGCCTCTGTGTTCAAAATTAGAAACAGCGTGGCCTTGGATAAATCTTAGAGGTGGAAGAGAGTGCCTGTGGAGGGGCGAAGTGTTACAAGTGCGTGGGGGCTGAGCAGTGTGTGTGAGTGTACTTCCCCAAATAATAAGACACGGTGACCTCTAATTCTCAGCACCATCAAAAAAGGGATTGCTCTCTGGTTGTAGCAGCGCCTTTCCATCATGCCTGCCACCTCAGCAGTAACAGTAGTGGCGTGGTTTCAGAGGAACTCGTGAATTATGGGTGATGTTTCAGATGCCAGAGACTAATCACGATGCAGCGCTGGGGAGTATTTCCTCGATAAATGTTAATTTCACAAATCATGTTTGACTTTTGCTTTATGATTTAATTTGTGACAAGGGGCTTTGGTTGAGTAGATTCCTAATGCAACCATGAATCAAATCCTTTTTCCACAGTTTATTTAACGCTGAAAATGAGTTTTTAAAAGTAATAATAAAAATCTGTTAGCGTATCTGTGTTAGCGTAGCAGTCATTTTCTGTTAGTTTTGGTGGGTTTTTTTACCGTGATGGTTGGAGAGATGGAGATAGCTATGAGCCCGAAGACTTCCAGCTCTTTATCCAGCATTTTGAGTTGCCTTACTTAGTAAGACTGTGGACTGCGGTTCTGGGTGCACAGGGGAAAATGCATCTGCACTGTGCCTCTCCGTATGAGTGCTGATAAACCACCCCAGGTATGGCTAAACTAGCAATATTGCTAACAGTTGAGTTATTTCATATTTGTTGTATGATCACACTGACAGCCTTCAAGTAAGATTGGAAGTCCGCAGGAATAGGTAATTGTGCTGGTTTTAGTCAGGAAAGAGTTAAACCACGACAGTAATTTAGAAATAGCTATAGACAATTTATGCCTTCCTTTCTCCCGTCGTATAGTGTTAATAGGCAGAACAGCCAGGAAGGGGAGGATCATACTCCCATTTTAAACATCAAGAATGAGTTGAAGTAGCCTGGTCTGGGGTAAGCCCGGAGTTGTTTAAGAACTTACATTGCTGATTCGCAACGGGGAATGATCAATGAGCAGAAATTCGCGTGTACACCAGTCATTTTGACTAACCAAGGTCAGTCAGGGATTTTAGGGAAACGTAAATAAACTCAGGGAATGAGCAGGGTGGTAACAAAGTCGGTAACAAAGTTTTGGTGTGTTCTGTAATGCCTATGGGAGGGGAAACACTCCATTGGTCATACGGGTTCTGTATTGCAGGTGAACTGTGTGAACCTGGGTGATGGTCCTCTTCTTCTGTGCTATGTAGAGAAAAGGCCTTTCCTGAACTGGCCCTGCAGAGTTTGTGTAGCAGCCGGAGAGGAAGGCAGAGTTCATACACTGTTAGCAGCACTACCACTGTGAATGAGCAGGAGGTTCTCATTAGCAGACTTGTGAGGATTAAATAAGAGCAAACAGGCAAAGCACAGTCCTTCATGAGTGAAGTGGTTGGCTCAGGTTTTTTCTAGGAAGCAGTCTTATGCTTTATTCTTAAATCTCTGCTGTGTACATTTACTGCATTTTATTCAGTAAATTCAGCTTTCCTTTTGATCTTAGAGAAGCTATTGTCCCACCATTGGAGAAGCTGTTAGCATGGTAACCTAAGTGCCATCATAGAGTCCACAGGAGATGTATCTTCCCTTTCCAAAGAGGATAAAGCTGCCTGATGCAGTTTAACTGGAGAACTCCCGACAGGGGTGGCATTATCCATTTGATCTCATTTGATTAGCTATTTATTTAAATTACTGGGGGGTTGGCAGGAGTGGAAATGAGATAGATAGAATAAAAGTGTCCTAGGACCACATCATGCCCTTTTCTTTTAGATGTTTATACTAATATTACTTAATTCCATTTCCATCAATGTCTGTATATATATATATACAGGTGAATTTCTTTTTATAGGTGCATACAGATAGTTGTGTATACATGTATAGATTTATACTGATTCATTTTTAAATCTTTACACTTGGGATTTCAAATTTTCAAATTTTGTGGGAGCATTTACTTTAAATCTCTATGTTGTCCAACTTGATCAGCATTTTAAACAAGAACCTGTTTTGGGAGAAAGAGTGGACATCAGAATATTGTCCTCTGAAATGCGCCATGCATTCATCAGCTTTTTCTCCAAGCATGAGTCCTTTCCTCATCATTGAGCAGTACAGTGCTATCACTTGGGCAAGTGCCCAAGCCTCATTGCAATGTGCACAACACACCGCCTCCTGATTTCAGAAGTGAAGATGCTTTCCAATGAGCCAGATAACAGAATTAAAATGTCCTCCTACCCATGCACAACTCACGTTTCTGGCTTATACAAGCTGACGGCAGGAGTCCAAGCCCTACAGCCTTGGTGGTGTCTGCAGATGCATTTGTGCTGCCAGTCCTCTCCTTCAGGGTTTTCCTGTAATTCTGTTTATTTTTGTTGAAAACTAATTGTGAGGTACCAGAGGACGCAAGAAAGGAAAAAAGGGTTCTGCATGTTCTGTTATTGGTAGCCCAGGACTCTGACATTCGATGCATTTGCAGGGAAACCTCTGTAAAGGCAGAAGGAGGATTCAGAAAGTTGGAGCAGCTCAGCACTGAAAGTTAATGTTGTGGTAGGTATGCTTCTAGGTAGTCTGCTTGTGGACTCTCTGAGGCTGTGGCTACAGGAAAAGAAAATAGAAGAGGATTGGAAGAAGAAAGGAGGCTTCACCTGAGCCTTGATTAGAATTAAGAGAAATATTCATAACCCTTTTCATCTGCTGTTGACTTATTTTAGTACTGACATGAATCACAAGCACACGTAGCCACAGGAAAGCCAGTCACTATAGGAGTGGAGCCAATGCACATCAGGTTTTGAGTCAAGAGTGGGCCTGGGGATGAGGGGCTGGGTAGAGGCCAGAGGGGGGGGAGGGCATGCGGCACCAAGGACAGGAGTCACCACTTGCAGGAGGAACGCCAGCCTGGCACAAAGCAG